AAACTTAATTTTTTTTTTAGAGAGAGAGAGAATTTTTTATTTTTTTTTTTTTTTAGTTTTCAGCGGACACAACATCTTTCTTTGTATGTGGTGCTGAGGATCCGCGCCGCACGTATGCCAGGCGAGCGCGCTACCGCGTGAGCCACATCCCCAGCCCATCAAATTTAATTTCAAGAGTAGAAAACACCAGTATACCCTTCTCCTAGATTCACCAGTTAACATTTTGCCTCAAGGATTTATTATTATCCACATAACCCTCATACCTTTATTTTTTTTTAAATTTTTTAGTTATACACGGACACAATATCTTTATTTTGTTTATTTATTTTTATGCAGTGCTAGGGATCAAACTCAGTGACTTACATGTGGGAGGCAAGTGTTCTGCCACTAAGCAACAACCTCAGCCTCTACCTTTATTATTAATTTTGCTGAACCATTTGAGAATATGTTGAAGTCATCATGACTCTTTACTTTAAATACTTCACAGATTTCCTAAGAACAAGAACATTCCTTACATGATAATAGAAGAATTATAAAATTTAGACAATTTAACATTGATAAAATGAAGTTATTATTCATATGCATATTTTAAATGTCCTAGTCATGACTTTTATAGAACTTTTTCTTAGTCATCATATTTCTTTAGTTTTCTTTAATCTGGGATAGTTCCTCAGGCTTAATCTTTTGTGACATTAATTTTTTTGTTTGTTTTTAAGTCGGACACATACTTTTGTTTTTATTTATTTATTTACTTGTTTTTTATGTGGTGCTGAGGATCCATGCGCTAGGCGAGCACTCTACCGCTAAGCCACAACCCCAGCCCCATGACATTAATATTTTTGAAGAGTGCAGGTCATCTACTTTTGTAGAATGTTTCATAATTTTGAGTTATCTAATTTTTTCCTTACTTTTATGCATTTTGGGAAAAATACTATATAAATACTGTTATGTCTTCTCAGAGCATTATATAAGAAAGCATATAATGTTGCTTTGTCTCATTATTGGGAATCTTAACTTTAATGACTTTGTTAAGATCGTATCTGCCTTGTTTCTCCACTATACAGTTGTCATTTCTCCCTTTTATAACTAACAAGGAATCAATGGGGAGATATTTTGAAACTACCTTAATTGTTTGCTGTCTATCAAACTATCACACAGTGGTTTTAGTATCCATTTTGTCTGAATTATTTATAATTACATGTTTCAAAATGGTAACATTTTAATTTATTTTCTTGATAAACTGTGATAAATGTTAGGAGCAGAGGAGAGTTGTTGAAGATTGAATTTCCAAAAGTTTTGGAAATGGCACTTTTTTTTTTCTATTTTTCATTTTCAGAAGATTCTGTGCCCACACCTGATGAAGTTAGCATGCTGACAGCAATCGCACTCTTCCTGTGGTCTGCTAGTAGTGAAATAATAGGAGTCCAGTCATTACAGAATGGCTGCATGAACAGATTTAAAAATGCATTAAATTCATGTGACCCATGGGTAAGTTCTACCTAAGCAAACATTCCACTTTATCAGGAGAATATCTGGTTGATTCATTAAAATGTGTTATATGTAAGGAAAACCTAAGTATTTACAGTAAGAGTTTTAAATGGAAAAACTAGAAAATATCACTGGGTTTAACTATAGGAGAAACATATTTGTATGTTTACTTAAATATGCAGAAATTCTCTATTATCTTTGATTAGTTCTCGGCCATATTAGGAGAGACTTTTCAGAGCTTCCAATATTTATTTAAATTATACCCACTACATTAATGGATAAATTTATATTATTACATATTTTAATAAGCCTATTCGAAACTTGTTTGTTTAGAAAACATGTTTTATTATTTTACAGTGTTGAAGTCTAAAGTTATGATTATCAAATCTTCTGCGTATCAGGAAAAATAAAACAACTTAGGAACATTCCTGGCCTCCTAGCTCCCTGAATCAGAGTCTTCAGAGTTGTGACTCAGGAATCTGTATTTTTAAAATGCTCCCAAGGTATTTCTGATGTCAGTGAAGTTTGGCAATTTGTATTCTACAAAGTGCTGAAACAATTTTATTCCACTATTTTCCCCAAATATTTATAACTTTTCTTCCTTCCCTTCTTCCTTTTTTAAAGAATAATTATTCATATGAAGTTTTTCTAATCTAAAAGCCAGTGAGACTTTATTTTCTATGGCTACAAAACTTAAATTGGTATAAAGAATTATTTCGAGAGATTCAGATTTTTTGAGAGGTTTATTCAGTTAGCTTATTGAAAGAAAGTTCCATTACTCTCTTTAATTTCTCTTATATGGAAAATAACATTTATATTTTCATTGTGCTGTATTACATACATATTAAGATGTAATGTGATTGTAGAGCAGATAAGAACTATCATATGTTAATTGATTGAATGATCTCCTTACGTAGGTTCAAGCCAAATGTTACCAGCTTCTCCTCTCAGTCTTCCAGCATTCCAACCGTGCCCTTTCAACTCCCTACATCCATTCATTAGCTCCCATAGTGGTTGAAAAGCTAAAAGCTGTTGAAAGAAACAGACCAGCCAGTAACAATGAACTTTTGGCTGTTCAAGAAGGAATTAAAGTTCTTGAAACTTTGGTTGCTCTTGGTGAAGAACAGAACAGTAAGTATTTTTTAATAAAAATTAGCCATTACTCCAAAATGAAGATCTGTATTATACATAAATCTTATTTGATATTGGACATAGACATTTGCAACAGTAAGTTTACTAAGGAGCAATTACTGTCTGAAAGCATAATATATTTGCTTATGTTAGTAACATAATCCATTGAATTGATTATTTTTATGAGCAGAAAATCTCAATGAATTACTGATGACATTTCAACATACTGAGTTTTAAATTTTCTGGGAATATATCCTTTAAGACTGAGGAAAGGGGCTGGGGATGTGGCTCAAGCGGTAGCGCGCTCGCCTGGCATGCGTGCGGCCCGGGTTCGATCCTCAGCACCACATACCAACAAAGATGTTGTGTCCGCCGAGAACTAAATAAATAAATAAATATTTAAAAAAAAAAAAAAAGACTGAGGAAAAATACATATGTTCAATAGATTTTTAAAAATATTTTTTTAGTTGTAGTTGGACACAATATTTTATTTGTTTATTTTTATGTGGTGCTAAGGATCGAACCTAGTGCCTCGTACTTGCTAGGCAAGCACTCTACCACTGAGCCACAGCCCCAGCCCCAGATTTTTTTAAATGGAGCCTCTCATATGCGTGATGGTTTGTTTGTTTGTTTATGTATGTATTTATTTATTTAGTATTTCAACTTTTTAAAATTTTAAAAAAATTTTTTAAATTGATTTTTAAAAAAATAAATGACAGTGGAATGCATTACAATTCTTATTACACATATATAGCACAATTTTTCGTATCTCTGGTTGTATATAAAGTATGTTCACACTAATTGGTGTCTTTATACATATACTTTGGATAATGATGTCCATCACATTCCACCACATTTGTTAACCCCCTGCCCCTTCCCTTCCCCTCCCACCCCTCTGCCCTATCTAGAGTTCGTCTATTCCTCCCATGCTCCGTGCTCCCTACCCCACTATGAATCAGCCTCCTTATATCAGAGAAAACATTGGGCATTTGTTTTTGGGGGGGATTGGCTAACTTCACTTAGCATTATCTTCTCCAATGTCATCCATTTACCTGCAAATGCCATGATTTTATTCTCTTTTATAGCTGAGTAATATTCCATTGTGTATATATGCCACATTTTTTTAATCCATTCATCTACTGAAGGGCATCTAGGTTGTTTCCACAGTTATTGGGAGCAAATTTTACCCCTCACACATTAGATAGAGCACTAATCTCTATGGCATATAAAGAACTCAAAAAGCTAAGCATCAAAAAAACCAAATAACCCAATCAACAAATGGGTCAAGGACCTGAACAGACACATCTCAGAAGATGATATATAATCAATCAACAAATATATGAAAAGATGTTCTACTACTTTCCAATTTCCTGTGAAAAAAATTTTAAGAGAAGGAGTATTTGAAAATGAGATAATTAAGAAAAAGTTGAAGGCTAGGGTTGTGGCTCCGTGGTAGAGAAATGCAAATCAAAACTACTCTGATACCATCTCACCCCTGTCAGAATGACAGTTATTATGAAGACAAACAACAATAAGTGTTGGCGAGGATGTGGGGAGAAAGGTACACTCATACATTGCTGGTGGGACTGCAAGTTGGTGCAGTCAATATGGAAAGCAGTATAAAGATTCCTTGGAAAATTGGGAATGGAACCACCATTTGACCCAGCAATCCCTCTCCTTGGTCTATACTCAAAGGACTTAAAAACAGCATACTACAGGGACACAGCCACATCAATGTTACAGCAGCACAATTCACAATGTTCAATAGATTTTTAAAGTAACACATTCTACTCCTTATAATAAAGGTACAAAAACCTCCTAACAAATATAATCAGATAATATGAATACCAAACATCATTGTTAAAATACCTCAAAAATTGGTATTTTAAAATTATTTTTAAATTAATGAAAAACTGCCATATACATCCATTTAACCAAATTTAAAATAGCTTAGTATATTACTTTATTTCCTTAATGCTTAAATCTTGATCTCATAAAAATATAATATTTGTCTTTAAATATTAGTTTTATTTATTTTAGAAAGTCTATAAATTTTTGAAATAGTATCTTATGATCAAACATTAAGCTCTTTACAATTTTCAAGATTCTCTTCCCTACCTGTCTTCATGCTACATTTAATTTTAAATAAGCATATCTGTTCAGGAATTGATCTTGAGTTGACACAACTGAAAATTATTTTAACTATTAAAGGCAGTAAGATCAGTGCTCGGATTACAAAATGAATAAGATTTAGAACTCATCTTTATGAAGTTCATAGTAGTAAAATAAAAGTACACACAAAATTATGTTGATTTTTCTAACATGCCAGTGTCAGTGATAAATTTTCTACCAAAATAACCTATATATTAATTTATTACTAATTTCAACTAAATTTATCAATTTCTCCAAAACAGTTGTCTCTAACTTTCCCAATTATGACACTCCTTCCATGCAATATATTAGTAATTGCCTCTTTTTCTTGCTCCCCATAATCAGCGAATCATTAATCATCAGATCAAATGAATTTGTCTTTTACATTCATCTGTGCATTTTTCTCCTTCCTTTCCAGTCTCCTGTGAAAATTTTTTAAGAGAAGGAATATTTGCAAATGAGATAATTAAGAAAAAGTTGAGGGCTGGGGTTGTGGCTCAGTGATAGAGCACTTGCCTAGTGCATGTGAGGCTTCAATTCTCAGCACCACATAAAAATAAATAAATATATAAATAAAGATATTGTGTCCATCTACAACCAAAAATTAAAAAAAAAATGAGTGATAGTGTTGAATGACAGGAGAAAAGGTTATAACTCCCTTGACAAGGATGGAAGAGCCACTGGGCCAGACAGTAGGCATACGATTAAGACATTGCCACTTTCTTCTATGACATCTAACCATCATTTTTTCAGAAAAATAGAAGGGACATTGGAAGAGTAGAAGTGTGCTTTGCAGGTAGGGGGACCATTGGGGAGGAAGGAGACAAGGGTAAGGGGAAGAACTGGGGAATGTAGTTAACCAAATTATTCTAGGTACATATATGAATATATCACAGTGCATTCCAATTTTATATGTAACTATAATGCATCAAGTGAAAAATAAGTACATAGAAGAAAGACCAATAGAAAAGAGGAAGGGAACCAGAGAGGAAGCAAAGGAAAGGGAAGAGGTAAGTAGTATTAGGATTGAAATGGAGAAAACTATGTTACTTCTTTTATGAATATGTCAGAATGAAGTCTGCTTTTATGTATAACTATAATGCACTGAAAAATAAACTTTAAAAAATCAAGGATAAAATAAATTCAAGAATTGAAAATTCACGCAGTGGCTCCAGAGGCTGAGGCAGGAGGATTGCAAATTCAAAGAAGCCTCAGCAACTTAGTGAGACCATGCTTCAAAATAAAAAATATAAAAAGGGCTGGGGATGTGCTCAGTGGTTAAGTGCCCCTGGGTTCAATCTGTAGTACCAAAAGAAAGGAAAAAGAAAATTTACCCCTTTGGAATCATATCACTCAATATAAAGGTAAGTCTAAAAATGTTGCTGTCAAATTAATATATTTATTCATTTATTTGATGGTACCCTCCTAATGAATGTTCTATTCATTAATAAGATTCATTTGCCTGTGTGTGTGTGTGTGTGTGTGTGTGTGTGTGTGTGTGTTACTGACATTGAACAGGGCCTTAAGCACACTAGGCAAGCATTCTACCACTGAGCTACACCTGCACTGTGTTTAGCCTTAGATTTTAATTTTTTTAAAAGCCAGCTACTTATTCTACCTTTTAAAAGTCTTGGTATAATACAAAAACGTTTGTACTCTGAATAAAGTTGTCCATGAAAAAATGGAAAAACCATGATGGTGATACATCTTATTTGATGTATCTTAATTAATTCTTATTTGAAATGGGTTATTTACTTCAGGGGCATTGCTGGAGTCTAATTTGCTATTAAACCATAAATTACACAAATAATATGTGAATATATTCTTATTATTAAAAATATCAAATAGGCACTCTCACAACAGACCAATCTTTGTTGTTATCTTTGTTATTTACAGGAGTCCAGTTACTTGCTCTTTTAGTTCCCACTTTGATTTCTTACCTGATGGATGAAAATTCTTTTGCCTCAGCAAGTTCAGTTTCTAAAGATCTTCATGAGTTTGCACTCCAGAACTTAATGCATATTGGACCTCTGTATCCACATGCTTTCAAGACGGTAATGGGGGCTGCTCCTGAGTTGAAAGTGCGGCTAGAAACTGCTGTTCGAGCAAGCCAAGCCAGCAAGGCTAAAGCTGCTGCAAGGCAGCCAGCTCCGACCATACATTCTGCACCGACAATCAAGCTAAAAACAAGCTTTTTTTAATGTGTTCCTCCACTCATTTTTATATGTATTTCACCTAATTAGTGGTAGCCACTGTACCATTCCAGGCTATGGATTCTATTTTATTTGTATATTGGTATTATAATGCTTCCAAGTAGGTTAAGGAAGTCTTGTTCATGCCACTATTGATTTTTAAGTGATTTTTAAAAATTACATGGTGAGTATGTTTTCATTTTTCTGCTAATAATGTTTCTCTTTTATTAATTTTTCATTGTTTTGTTTTTGGTTTTTGTGGTTCTGGGGATTGAACCCTGCGCCTTGCACATGCTAAGCATGCACTGTACTACTGAGCTATATCCCCAAGCCCTAATTTATTTTTTAAACACTGAACCATAGTCTTTTACATGCTGAATACATAATTGTATCGTGTACTGGGACAGACTGTGGACATTATCAGGGGAAAAAATAGGTCAAAATTTGGCATTTGTCATGAAAAATTCCATTGCAAAATAAGTAAATTTTAAATTTTCAAGAAACCAAAATAATATAAAGTCTCTTTCGTGGTGTACCTACTATGAATAAAATCACATTTTTAAACATTTCTCAAAATATTCTCTTCTGATGTATCTTTTCACTTTAATATTAAATTACTGAATTGTGTTTGTGTATATTTTAGTTGTTAATTGAATTAAAGTTCTTATCTAAAGGTCCATTAAAATGTTTCTAATGTAGTATAATGTTTCTACCTTTTTTTATGTTTTGTAATTACAGAGACTCAGGTTCTGACTGTGATGGTTAGTTTCATTCATCAAATATTTATTGAATGCCTACTGTGTATAAGGCATCAAGCTAAGTGCTTCAGGGCATACAAAAATGAATTAGTCATAATTATAGTTATGCTAGTCTCTTATGCGATTGGAATTTTTCCTTGCAAAACAGATAATTGATTAAATGAATGTATACCACAGCATTTAGCAGATTTTAAACACCAAATTTTACCAGACAATGTAACATAGACTATATCAAAAGCAAGTGACTTTTCTGAACATTTCAAGCTATATATTTATTTATCACCTGCTACTTGCCATTTATTCTCACTCATACCTACACCATTTGGCAGCTAGCTTATAGTTCCTTGCTTTCTTCCTGGCTCAGTCTTTTAAATACCTCAGAAAGTCACTTTCTCTCACCTGTTTTCTCACTGACTTTTATTTCTACAGAGTTGTTTTTCGTTTCTGATTTGAGTTTCCGAAGTTATTCTTCTTGTTTTTTTGTTTGTTTTTAATTTTGATAAAAGTCTATAAAATGACTTCACATATTATACAATTCATCTATTTAAAGTGTACAATTTAGTTGTTTTTATTATAATCACAGGGTAGTACAACTCTCAGTATAGTTAATTTTGAACATTTTCATTACTCCCAAAAGAAACTCCATATTCTTTACCTGTCATCTCACAATTTTCCATTTCCCATCAGCCTTAGGCAACTGCTAATCTACTTTCTGTCTCTATAAATTTTCTACAGTGGTATTTCATATAAATGAAATCATATAATATGTGGTCTTTTGTGACTGGTTTCTTATCTGTGCATAATATTTCAAGGCTCATCCATGTTGTAGTGTGAATCAGCAATCCATTCCTTTTTATGGCTGAATAATATTCCATTGTATATATGCCACATCATCAACTGATATATTTTATGAGTTGAAGGACATTTGGTTGCTTTCACTTTTTGCCTATTATGAATATGATGCTCTGAATAATTATGTACCAGTTATTGTGTAGATATATATATTTGTATACTTATATATATATATAATTTTTTGGTTTTGGTACTGGAGATTGAACCCAGTGGTGCTTAACTACTTAGCCACATCCCCAGCCTTTTTTATGTTTTATTTTGAAACAGCATCTCACTAAGTCCTCAGGGCCTCACTAAAGTGCTGAGGTTGGTCTTGAATTTCTATCCTCCTGCCTCAGCCTCCTGAGTCACTAGGATTACAGGTGCACACCACCATGCCCAGCTGGATACATGTTTTAATATCTTTTGAGTATATCCCTAGGAGTGGAATTGCTGACTCAAATAGTAACTTTATATTTAACTTTTTAAGGCACTGCCAGACTGTCTTCTAGTCTCATTTTTTGCACACATGCATGTGTGCACGTATCTCCTTTTCAGTCATCTATTTATATAATATATTTATTTTTGCCTTGGCTATTTTTTGCTGTTCTTGGTACCTATCAAACTTTTCCCATCATTACCCCTTTTAGGGTAGACTGCATCATATCTTAGTAATGTCTCTCTTCCCCTCCTCCCCGCCTCTCTCCTTTTTTTCTCTGTCTCTCTGTTAGTACATCTTTATTTTTTCTCTAAACCTTTTTAAGCCATTGATAACTTAAATTCTAGTTTTCTACAATCAACTATAAAAGGAAATTCTGTTTGATGCTTTGTATTTATTAATATTTCCCCAGCCCATGAGATTTTTACAACCCAAATAATCATATCTATTTAGATTATAATATCCAGTGTCATAAAGCTAAAAGAAGCAGCAGCATTATAGCCAGTGAATTCTGAAGCATGATCTAAGTAGTTTTAATAGCATAAGCAATAAAGTATCTTCTGTTTGCTTTCCAAGTTCTCATTAATCAATATTATAGGTTTGGCTTCTCAATTTATCTAGAGAAAAATAAGCTCTGAAGTCAGGTGTCCCTGTTGAATAGATTCTACTAGTCACAGGGATAAAATACAGGACCACATCTACAAAATGAGAGGAAAATTTACTAGGTATTTTTTCTTTGATCTTTTACATATCTAAAAAGTACATCTGTCTTCATAGTTATCTGCTTATTTTTATTAAGAGTGAATCTTTGAATAATCCTTTAATATTGGCAAATAATAATAATATTAGGTTTGATAAATAGTCTTTACATGTGTGTAAAATTGTTGTTATAGTATGAGAGCATAAAACATTAAATATGTAATGCAGGCACAGAAATTATAAAGTATTGCAGATCATGGGGCTTGGGTTGTGACTTAGTGGTAGAGGGCTTGCCTAGCACATGTGAGGCACTGAGTTTGATCCTCAGCCACATAAAATAAATAAATAAATGAAGTGGCAAAAAAAAAATATTGCAGATCATTACAATCAGTAAAAGCTGCCATTTCTCAGCTGGGGCTATAGCTCAGTGGTAGAGCGCTTGCCTAGAAAGTATGAGGCCCTGAGTTCGATCCTCAGCACCACATAAAAATAAATAAGATAAAAGCTGCCATTTCTGTTGAATGCCAGACATTGTGTTAGACACTTTATATTCATTATGTCTTCTGTTCAAACAGTACTGAATGATGGATAAAAATTATCCTAAGCAAGCATGTGATAATCATATCTATCAGTGACAAGTTACAACTACTCTTTCTTTCCCATTTATTCTATTCTTTTCCCAGAGAGGAATTTGTTTACACCTTTTGTCTGATATCCACAATTCTCTGTCTCTGTCATTGGAACTCATGGCTTTCTACCTCAGTATGTTCTCATACATATACTTGTCTTTTCCCCTACCCCACTATTGTCAATTCTAGTCAAAGGATCCATAGAAATTTAAGTGGACTTCTTCGAGTATTCTAACTTCCATTATTGATACTTACTTTCTTTCTTTTTCCTTTGTTTTTGATTATTTTCTTTACCTCTTTCTTCATTTCAAATTATTTCAAGTTAGATAGAAAAATGCCTTTTGTTTTGTTTGTGAAACAAAAAAGGGCTTTAATCTTTTTTGTTGGTTGGTTGGTTGGTTGGTTGTTTTTTGGTACTGGGGATTGAATCCAGGGGTGTTTACCACTGAGCTGTATTGTCAGCCCTTTTTATTTTTAATTTTGAGTCAGGGTCTTGTTAAGTTGCTGAGCATTTTTGCTCAGGTTGCTGAGGCGACCTTGAACTTGGGATCTACTTGCTTCAGCCTCTGGAGTTGCTGGGATTACAGGATAGTGCTACTATGCCCAGCAAGGGCTTTAATCTTGTCCAATGAGCATATAAAGAGACTCAGGAAAAAGGAAAGTCAATTTTATATCTTGTTATGAATTAATTTATTTCAATCATTAAGTTTACATTCAGCAAAATTTTGGAAAAATTCCCAGAACCCACCAACCAGAACAAATGTTAATATTTGACTTTATTTATTTCCATAGTTGCAACCATCCTACATAGTGGATGTTGTATCTTGCTTTCCTCTATTTATTTTATAAGCATTTCCCCCATACTACTACTCTGAAAATATAAGAGGGATTTAGCAATGACATTTTGATGGCTGGCTACTTAATGTTGGATGTGCCATTATCAATATCCTGTACATGGATACTTTGTTTCCAATTTTTACATTTCAATAAGTAATGTTGCATTTGACATTTGAAAAGTCAAACTTTGTATATTATTTTCTTAGGATAGATTTCCTAAAAGGGTTATAAAAATATGACAGTTTTCTAGTCCTCCCAGGGACAAAAAAAAAAGCCAGACTTGAATTTTGATAGATTGTTGAATCTTTAGAAAGTAATATTTTTTGGAATAAACAGATTTGAAAATGAAACTGGGTCACTCTTTTCCAAACTCCAAGAAAATAATATAAAGGAGACCTTTCACATTGCCAAATATTTTGATATAACTAAGTGTTATATTCTATTAACAGCATTTTAGTTGAGCAGCAAGTAGAAAAGTTAATGGAGTTTGGACTGTTTTTAGTGAATACTAAATTTTTGATAGTACTGTTTTGAATACTGTGAACCCCAGTCTGTATACATAGGAGGTGGAGAAGGGTAGAGGATGTCAAGGACAATGACAAACAGATGTTTATTTAAGCCAAGTGATTTAGAGGAACTCAGGTTTGAAAAGAACCATGTGATCATTAATTTTTAGGTAGGAGGTCCAGGATAGCCCACCTGCATAAACAGGTCAGTATGTCACGTGTTTTCCAAATACTTAAAAAGGAGTTTCCTGGGGCTGGGGTTGTGGCTCAGAGGTAGAGAGCTCGCCTGGCATGCGTGAGGCTCTGGGTTCGATCCTCAGCACCACGTAAAGTAAAACGAAGACATTGTGTCCACCTATAACTAAAAAATAAATATTTTTAAAAAGTTTCATAAGCTGTAAAATAAAAATGGAGCTGGGTGTGCTGGTTCACGCCTGTAATCCCAGTGGCTCAGGAAGCTGAGGCAGGAGGATTGTGAGTTCAAATTCAACTCAGCAAATTAGTGAGACTCTAAGTAACTCAGTAAGACACTATCTCAACATAAAAAGTGCTGGCCCAGTGGTTAAGAGCCTCTAGGTTCAATCCCTAGTAAACCACCCCCTCCTCAAATGGATTGCCTTATGACAGTGCTTTTCTTCACACTGGATACATGAATAAGGAGAATTGAATTCCCCTTTATCAAAAAATTTTGTGTTACGATTCTCCAAGGCTCTTTTATTCATTCATTGGACAATTTATATATGACAGATGTTGGGAATATAGTGGTCAAACAAAAAATCTGTCATAATAGGCTTACATTCTGGCAGGAGATGGAATAAAACAATCACAGATGGTAGTAAAAAGGAAGGAATGGTATGAAATATGGCATGCAAGAGGACAAAAGGTAACATTCTTTTTAAAGGTTATCAGGAGCCCTTAAGATTTACTTTTTTGTCTTTTTTTTGTAACAGACATTGAACCCTGGGTTGTTTTACCACTGAGCCACATCCCCAGCCATTTTTT